AGTGATAGCAGAGGGACTCATGGTTTGGATGGGAAGGGAGTTAGTGCACCAGAGAATAAGAATCTTCCAAACTGCCTACGAAAGAAAGAAGTTTAGTTTAAGTTTGTTCATTTAATAAGTTAAAGTCGATGTACATAGGTACTTAGAACTAAAAAAAAAAAAAAAAAACAACCAGAAACAAAACCAACAACAACAAAAAAAGTAAAACCAACAACAACAAAAAAAGTAGCTGCAGAAGGTGCAGGTTGATAGGATGCATTTGCATTAGGAAATGGGCAAAACAAATTACATTACTCTACTGGGAAAGAGAAACAAATACAACATACAGAAATATAGAGAAACCAATTTTTCCTATGGGGAATATTCCATGCCTTCCACAGTATTGCTCCAAATAGAAAATGCATCATAATGAATATCAATTGCAAAGCAAAAGACAAGGAAGAGCTTACAGTAAAGTTCAAAGTCTAAAGGTGTTTTATGGTTGAGAGTGAAAGATACTGTTTTCAGATGATGAAGGAAAAGAGTATAACTTCTGGAAATGTTCATTATAGGAAAAAAAATTAAGTAAAGAATTCTTTATTTTTATATATAAGATGGACCCTTGCCTGCTTAAAAATCCATTCGTTCCTCCTTAAAGCCGGGACTACACCAATCAGAGCCAGACGGTCTCTGTACTAACAACATTTTTTTTCTTCTTTCTCTCCTCCTCTCTCGAAGTGTAGGGGCGATCAACTGTTTCAAGAAAATTCTCCATTTCTGCATCTCACATACATCGATTTGGTCAGGCTGCTTTGCAATCCTCCACTGAGCTCAATAAATTAACCCGTTCAAATAGGGACGGGGGTGGGGGAGAAAGGTCACTATTTTCTCAGGTGGTCGGAGGTGTTTTTACAGTGGGGGACGGTGAAGAGGGGTGTCGGGTAGGAGGCGGGAGCCCCGACGGGACGGGATATCCTCAAAGGGGCCTGGCAGCCTCTCCCGCACGAACCTCGCTGTCCCTCAGTGAGATCCCGGCTCGCCACGATGCCCGCAGCCCGGCCCCACTGCAGAGTTCCCTTCACGGGCGGCCGCGGGTGAGGGAGTGGTGGTGGTCGAGCATCCGTACAGAGGGCCACGGCACCGCGCCCCCACTTCTCCCGGCTTCAGCGGCTGCGGGGACACGGGATTCCCGGTATCCTCACTCTCCTACCGCATTTCACGCGAGCTGCAAGCAAGCACGGTCGCTGGGGAGTGAGCTGGAAAGCGCGTTGTATGCTATGTGCAAACAAGCATACATTTTTTTAATTATTCTTTTCTTTATACCCTTGGAAACTTGAAAATTTATTTAAGCGCGCAGAGGAGCCGAAGTGTTTCTATGGATTTATCTGGAGGGATGAGGTGGTCGGGTGCGCGCAGCCATACGCTTAAGGTCCACGGAGGCCAACATGGTCTCATCCCGTGAGCCCACAGAGACGGGCTGCTATAGCTCCCCACCGCATCAGCGGGTGGAGCACACGCGTGGGCGCTGCCGTTTACTTTTAGCATCCCTGGAGAAATGCCTGCCCCGTCTCGTCCCCGTGGATGCCATCGGGGAAGAGGTGGCTATCGGTGGGACGCCAGGGACACCACGTTGTAGCGGCAGAGCGGGGAGCGGCAAACCCACTCCTCGGTCAAAGGATGCCGTCCCCAGGGGAAACGGGGGTTCAGGGTCCCGGGGGGTAGACTGTCCCCCCGGGCCCCACGCAGAAGTGGGGCAGGAGAGGATGAAGTCTGAACAGGCAAACCACGAAAGGAGGCCGAGCAGCCGGAGTTGAAAACTATCCATATCAGTTCCAAGCAAAACAAGAGATGAAACATTTCAGGTTATTACATTCTCCCTTTGAAGCGAACCATTTCCAGCAGATAGCAATGTGTAGGTATATTTAGACAGTTCGGCTCGTCCAAGGGGAATGTGTCTTGCGCTATTTGAGAAAACTCTTAGAGTAAGTGCAAATATTTGATACTGAAGAGCTCTTAAGGCTCGAAGAGTACCATTTACTTATTTCTACACATCAGTGTGGGCTTAGGATGTTAAATAGATTAAAAGGCTAAGAGAGGTCACTGAAGTAGACTCTCTTTCTCTCATCCTGACTTTTTTTCCTTGCAAAGTTTTTGTACTTTCTTTAGAATGTCCTAGGCAAACTCCTCTTAAGAGCCACCTCGGATACTGTATAAGTTAGTGGCACTCTGAACCCTGGCCCCCTCCTCTCTTCTAGTCGACCCCCTCCCCGAAACTCCTCTCCAGCACAGGCATCCAGCAAATATTTGCCTGCGGGGTCAAGATATTAATAAGCACTTCTCGGTAGCCTTTTATACCCGGGTGCTCGGGAGCGCGGGGCAGTGGCGGCGCTGCCGACCGGGCCGGGGCAGGTGAGCGTGGCCGTACCTGGCGGGCGGGGGGGCCGGGCCGGCGCCAACTGCGCCTCTCCCCGCCGGCCGTGGGCTGCCCCGGCGGTGACACGGGCAGTCGGAGCCGAAGGGGACACAGGGGCGGCCGCAGGAGTAGCCGCTCCGTCGAGGACGGACACGTCGTTTCAATTTAATCTCATTTAAAAAGACGTAACTAATAAATTTGTATGGACGGGGCTGCCGGAGACGTAAAGCAGAGTCGATAGTGGTTCAATCCCATTGAACCCTATTGAAAACCATGACAACAAGAAACAAGCTCCGATTTATCCCGGAGAGTTAAAGCACATTGTGGGAAGGCGTCAATCACCTATTATTCCAGATCTGAACAAATGCAAAATCTTGACTGGAACAAATGCTTCCAACAGGTCCGGGACATAGGGCTACATTTCCCTTTTGTTCACGGCCTAGCAGTTGGCATGTATTTGTGCTCCCCTCGCTCCGACCACCCAGGATGGCTGTGAGGCTGTGCTCGGAGCTGGGAGATAACTACTGTCACCAGGCACGCTTGATAGGTGGCTGCAGTAATCACGGCCTGGGAATCGTTTATATGGAGCCTGTCGAGCCCCGAAGAAATATGCGGGAAGTTGGCCAAATGGAGCCTTGTGCCCCGTTCATCTCGCCCACAAATCTCGCCGAAATAAATCTCACCTCTCCCTTGTCGCTATTTCTCTATTGACGTTTTCTCCGAGAAGTGTAACTGCTCCCAGAAGCGACACCCGGAGCAGGGCGGGAAGGGGAGGTAGCAGCCGAGGGCAGGCGGGTAGCGGGTCTGGGGGGCGAGAGAGAGGCTGGATAAATATAATCTATACACAATAGCTTATAGACGCCTGTTTGGACAGGGAGATTCGAAAGGACAAAGCGGCCGGATAGAAAAGTATCTCTGCGTGTATCTGCGTTCTGTTTCATGGCGCTCAGTGTAGGGTTTCGCGCTGTCTCCCCGTCGGGAATGAGCTGTGTGCACCTCGACCCTCGTTCAAAGAAGGACTGATTTGTTGGGTGCCTCCTGCCCTACAGACTTTGCTCCATCCAGCTGGACTCGCCCCCCACTGGTTTTCTAGCCGGGAGCTGGGTCCCTGGCGCGCAGCCGGCGGGAAGCTGGGGAAGGCCTCTGCGGCGCGAGAGTGGGGAGCTTGTCCCGCCTCCTCCCCCTCCGGCCCCACGGCTTGGCCCACGCTGCGCGACACGCGTGAACATCGCCCCCATCTGTTACTTCTGCCCCTGCCCTGCGGCTGGGGACCGAGCCCTGTCATTGCGGGTTGGAATTTGAACGCCACACCGGGCTGCATGTTTCTGTGTCGTATTTTCTTGTAAGTCCTCGCAAAGGCCGACCACAGCTTCGCGGGGGGATGGGCACACTCGTTTGAAGTGCGAGGAGGCTCTTGTCCCCGGGAGCTGCCTTCGGGCAGTCCCCCAGGGGACTGCGGAGCCAGTGTTGGCACCCTCCTCCCTGGGGGCACCGGTCTCCGGGATCGTTTGCTGCCACTTTTGGCAGATGAAACGGCGGTCGGCAGGGACGGGAGACGCGAGGATAAATGGACACGCCGTGTTTGATCTCTTCTCCCTCTTCCCAGCTGGAATCTTTTGAGTAACTCACACATCTCGCCCGAAGGGATATTTCCCGGCTTAGTACCAAACGACATTATGTTAAAATAAAAGATCTTCCCTACTCGAAGTCCCGACTCTTGCTTATGGACCGAGTGTGCCAAGCTCCCGCCATCACCCTTCCTGAGAGAAAGGTGCACCTTCCATCTACCATGCCCCGGAGAGGCAAAAAAACCCCCAAAGCAACCAGAGATCCCATTCCTCACTGCACACATGCGCCAGCCTTCCTCACCGAGAGCTCAGTCGAGGTGTGAAAAATGCCCCGTTGAGGGTAGGAAACATGCCAATAACATGAGGGAGAATTGGAGGTAGCACTGCAAACAGCCCGGGGAAATAAAACAAATAAAGACTTAAATTCCTTCCAGGTTTAAAGAAAGAGGGGAGTGGGGGGGGGAATAAAGAGGGAGAAGCGGGAAGGGGGCTCTCGGCAGGCTATGCGGATGTCCTGAGAGGATTCACTTTGTCTGCGGATAGAAGGGACGCTGGTGGCTTTGGTGGCGGATGGAGGGGGGTGGTTGTTGGTCATCCACATGCCACCCAAGATGTTATTCACTGCTAACAATTACCATTATCTGTCCCCACTTTTGGCTAATCAGACAGAATATGTAATGATGAAGCCTGTTTCCTGCTGTCTTTGGGAGGTAACGGGTTATTCTCTCATGGGGGTGGCAGGAGAGGGGGGTTACACCTACTCCCATTAGGGCTTTAGCACTTGACTAATTCAGGTACTTAGCATCCTATAGACAGGGACGGTTTGAAAGCAGGCAGTGTTTGCAGTGGGGAGGACTGTTTATATAAACAGGACACCTCTGTAAACGACACTAATATTTGGGGTTAGGTGGCGATGGGAAGGAAGGTCCTTTTGAGCCCAGAGATTCTCCAGTAAACACACGAGGACCTTTCCTAGCAGCTTTTAAGAAAGGGGGTTCGGTTTGGGGTGATATTTTTTGGGGGTGTGTGCACAGTCTACCATGGCCACAACCGGCAGGATCAGTTTTACAGTGAGGAGCATTTTGGATTTACCAGAGCAAGATGCTAATAGCATAAAGCAAGCCTCTGACCATCACCACTCAGCAGAGAACTACACCGACTCGCCGTACCGAGGGTGGATAGAAACAGACAGAAATCACTATCCCTGTGAGTATGAAACGGACAGGAATTCGCCATCTCCGAACGGTTATTTTTTATTTGTTTCCCCGCTTCCTCTGGGGAAGATGAAGAGAATTGCCAGCGTAAGTAGCCTACAGGATCGGGGGGATCGAGGCTGGGAATATTATAGAATATTACTGAATTGCAACAATGAAACAGCAGAAACGTCACGGCCACGAGCTTAAGAGAGAAAAGTTTTTTTTTTTCCCTTTAAGTCTGTGTATCTTCCCAGCTATGGCAGAAAGCAAAACCCCAGGCTGCATTCACCAGTCTCTCTGCGTTTATCGTTTAAGTCCACTTCCCGGATTATTTTTCCCCCCATTTCACTGTTGCAAGAAATCCTGCCTTTTTTTTGTGGTGGAGGGGTTTCAGGTCACCCCACGCTCCGCAGAGGGAAGCTGAGCACACACCCTGTGCTTGGACTCCCAGCCCTGAGGCGGAGTGCCCTGGACACCACCGCCTAGATCCACGCACCTTCCACCGTGTAGGGCAGGTTGCGGTTCGCAAACCCAGTTGTGATTGATCACACCTCGCACACATAAATTGTGCCACAGATACACGGCGTTTATTGTATACCTGTGTTTGTGCACGTGGGGAATCATCCTCTCAATAGGTGCGGGAACCCCATCAGGATAAGTTAAATATTAAGGTAATCGAGCTCCGCAAGCCCTTAGGCTTTGTGAGGCAGAGCGCTCATGCCTCTGCGGGGATTGCTGGCTGGGGCACAGCCCGATCTGTCCCGTGGGCTAGGTTTAATGTATTTGAAGGGGTTGGCTCACATCTCTTGTTGACTGTTAGGATTAATCCGGCCCGGTAAACAGCCCTGCTCTCGGTGGCCCATTGCTTCCTCAATGCCTGCCCCTTTCCCCGGGCCCGGCTGCCCCCTCTCTCTAACCCTCTCGCTGTCCCCAGCTTCCGACGAGAGTGGCCCGGAGATGAGCTTGCCCGACTCCACCCAAAGGTCGCTTCCCGTCAGCGGCTCGGAAGCCGAGGAGAAGAAGAAGAAGCGGCGAGTGCTCTTCTCCAAGGCACAGACACTAGAGCTGGAGCGGCGATTCCGGCAGCAGCGGTACCTCTCGGCGCCGGAGCGGGAGCAACTGGCCCGTCTGCTCAGCCTCACCCCCACGCAGGTGAAGATCTGGTTCCAGAACCACCGCTACAAGATGAAGCGGGCGCGCAGCGAAGGTCCCGGCAGCCCACCGCCGCGGCCGCCCGCCCTGCTGCGCCGGGTGGTCGTACCGGTGCTGGTGCGGGACGGGGAGCCCTGCCGCGGCTGCCCCGCCAGCCCACCGCCACCCACCCCACGGCCCAAGCTGGGCTGCACCCTGGCGGGATGCAGCGCCCAGGCCGCCCTCGCCCTGCAGGGCTACGGAGCCTGCCCGCCCGCTACCGCCCTCGGTGTCTTCCCCGCGTACCAGCACTTAGCGCACCCCGCCGTCGTCTCCTGGGGATGGTGACAGCGGCGCTTCGCCCTCTGGGACGGGACTCATCCCACGGGCGCGGGGCGGCCCGCTTCAGCCCCAGGCTCTAGCGCAGGGAAGCAATGAGGCCCGCCGGGGCACCGCGGCGGCCGCGCTCGGGCGGACCGGGCGGCGGAGCGCCCTGGGCGGTGGCCTGCGGGCCGGAATGAAGCTGGCCCGGGCCATGCTTCCCTCCTCCGGCCTCGCCCGAGGGCGTGGATGGCGCGTGAGGCGTGAATTTTGTAAAACCTCCGCTCCTCCTGCTCCTTTTCGAGAGATTCCTAGTTAAAAAATAATGATCATCCTAGCGACCTAGTGTGTTTAAAAATAGCTGACTCTTCCAGTGACTAATAAAACTGGTTTTGGCAATTAATTTTTTCCCCACGGAGAAGTGTAGTTTTGACGATTGGGACTGTTTCGTAGAATTGCCTCCTGTTCTATAAAAGCTTAAATACTTGTCTTGATTGAGCCAACCGAATTTAACTTTCAGGTTCGTTTATTTTATCTACATGAGCCGGTAAACGGCGAATAAACTTTGCTGTAAGCATCTCACTGTAAACTTGCTGATAATTTCTACGGGCAGCGTGAGCCCAGAGTCTTCACGACCTTGCGTTTTAAGCGGCAATGTCTTTTTTAGAGCAGCTAAGGCAGCATCCAGAATTAAACCAATCTTCCCGTTAGCCTGTAAGAGTTCCAAATATCGACTGGGGAACGGTAGCCAAGAGAATTACCCTCTGAAACTCTGTTGAACTATCGATTTTATTACGTTGGGGTGAAAATAATAATATAATTGTCCTGGCAGCCGCCAATGAGGAAAACCCTAAAAAAATCCCACAAAGCCAAACCCAGGTCTCTCGGACGGAACATGTGGATCAGGAACCCGGAGGTAATATTTGAGGTGAAGACCCACGGGGTCTGATGCAGACAACCTGCCAGTAGAGGAAAGGCTGTCGAGGAAAAGGGACCCGCAGAAGATATTTGGGTAGATTTTTTATATTTATTTTTCACTTTATTCCCTGGAAGGAGGTTACTTCGGGCGAGATGTGTCCCTAGGATATGCCGTGCTGTCCACACATGCCGGAGACCCCGCGGAGAGCAAGACTGCGAGGCGCCACCGTCACGGAGGGAGAGGCGACCAAAAGTACACGCGGACATATGGGTTTCCGTGGGTGCTTTCGGCCACCTCCCCCGTGGCGACGGCGGCGGCAATAGGACCCCTTTCGCCTCCCAACCCTACCTTCTCCCGGGGGCCGCGCCCCCTGTCCAGGTGGGGCTCCTCTGGCCTCAGTGAGGGGGGGGATGAGACCCAGCTACATTGCAGGACGGGACGGGGAGAATCCAGGGACACCAGTCCTCCCACCTGCGTCTCCTTCCCTGCTTGGACAGGGGGCTGTGTACCAAGAGGGAGGCGCAGAGCGGCCCGGGCCTCTGGGATGGGCGAGGAAACACAGCTTCTGTATCACCTGGGTTTGGTTTTATAGTTTTATTGTTTGGTTGGTGGGTTTTGATTTTTGTTGTTGTCTTTCCCTTTATTTTTCCTCTTGCCGTTCGAAATGTTGCCTTTTTTTTTTTTTTTTTCGTCTCAGCTGCTGGCCACCTTGTCTCCCATATGGATGGGGTTATCTTAGAAGAATCTCCCAGAGAATCGCTCCTTAAACCTTCTTTTGTCTTGGGGGTTGAAAAGGGCATTGTTCTGCATGAAAAGGACCTAGACAAAATCCGCACTGTTTCAATTCAGGACTGTTTAATCAGTCCCTAGTGACAATTTTATGGGGTTTAGGCGGTACAATAGCATCTTTTAAAACCTTGTGGCCTTCATGAAAACAAAGGGCTTGAATTTTATGGGCTTACAACTCCAATTAGAACAGTGCCAATGTGTATGGGAGATTATCAAATTTGTATCATAAAACCCCTTTATAATAAATAATTACTGAAAACGGGTGAGGGTGGGGGAGGGGGAAGGGACTCGGACTTCAAGCAATGAACTTTGTTGCATGTAGTTTAAAAAATACAGATGCTGCCCTCTATTTTACCTCTTTGCGATCCAGCTTTGCAGTAGTGTGAAAATAGTGTGATATCGTCGTTAAAAAGACAAAAAAAAGACAACAAGCGGTGTCCGTTCCACCTCAGCACAAATCTACCCTCGGTCAGTTTGCCCAGTGCTTGCAGCATTCCATTCGGAAGGATCTCTCCCTGGCTCTGTGCTTATCTGGGCTGCTCTCCTGTCCGGGAGCCCACACAGGGCCATAGGAAAGCTCTGTAAAACAGGAGGGCTTCACTGAATTACTGCTTTTATCAGTTACTGTTCGTCCTGACAATGACAGAGGATGTCTCTTCCCAGTCCCAGGCTGCAGTGATTTCCTCTCGTCACCAGCTGCAATGTCGCCTGATGTGGGTTTCTTCCCAGAAAACGTGCAGTTTGTGAGCGTTGCCTTTTACTGAGCCCAGGGAAAGGAAAAGGTGCGATTCCCGGGCACCGACAGACTAAAGCCGTGCCCTTGCAGGCTGAGCAGAAGTCACTGAAGCAGAGGTGCAGAGAAGATGGTAGAGTCAGGTTCAAGCAAGGAGAAAAGCAACTCCCTTAATTTGATGCATCCAAGTAGAATGAAGAATGTATTAAATAATGAAACAATTCAGTAGACTATGGAGATTTACAGTAAAGAGGAAGGCTTGTGAAAAAGATAGGGTGGGACTGAAAATATTATTTTTCCTGACAGAATCAAAGTAATCTGTCCAAATTTTGAGTGTATTTAGCAAGGAAAATAGTTAACCTTACCAATGGTTAAGGTGCAACTAAGAGGTACTTCTTTAAAAGTGTCATTAAAAAGCTTTAGGGCAAAAGAAACTTAGCATCTTTCAGTGTATTTTCTGTTACTTTGGCTTGTTTTTTAATAAGTCACGAAATCACCTCAGCTGATTTGGATTTTTTTGTCACCTCCTCAAAGAGGTGAATGCACGGGCTCTGCCTTTTCCCACTGTGTCTCACTGTTACTTTCACCCTGAAAACAGGCCTATGATTTCAGTGAAACTAATGAATAAACATACCATGATCAAGATCTAAATACCATCTTCAGCTAAAGAAAAGCATTGCTAACATCTTCAAACACCTTCCAATATTCTTTGTTCTCAGTTGGTAAACAAACTATTGACTTTACAAAGGCCCAGCCCTGGACGCACTTTTTCTAACTCAGAACTAAAGCATTAAAACAAATAACTAGATCACCTCCAAAAAATGGACAGTAGTTCTAAAAGAGAATATGATCAAGCTTCTTTGTAAGCCTTTATGAATGAAATGAGTGTGTCCCTGCCAAATCATGAACATCATTAGTCTTTGGATATATACACCCTGCATTTCAAAAATTAAAACAGATGAAAGACATCACCTCCCAAGCAGAACTCTGCTGTGCACCAAATTATCCTGTCGCTGACTTAGGAAAGGCTTCTGGCAGCCTTGCAGTATGCCTGTCTCAGTTAATTACCCATACGGACTGTGTTGTTAGCAAGCACAAGTCAGGCCTGCGGAAACTCTTTGGACTTTTCAACCTCTCCTACCTCCTAGCATTTGCCAGGATTAAACCTTCCACCCCTGGTTAGAGCCCATCTTAGGCTGAAGGGGGACAGTGAGCTCACTGTGTTTCAAAAACAGGTGGTGCCCAACACTACCTATGGAGAACCATAGGCCTGGCTCTCCCTGTACTCAGTGACCTTCACAAGTCACAGTTCATTGTTGAAGATAGTGTCTTACTGGACTTGAATGCCTAACAACTGCTGCTTTTTGAGAAGATGGAAACAGTTAAGATATAAGGAATATAAGTTTCTGAGCCTTAGTAATGGTACTCAGCCTTTTATTCAAAAGCCTAAATAGTGCATTCTCCTTTTCCTCAGCTGGTGCTCCCAACCCTTGATCGCTGGACCAGTCCCATACATACTGACCATCAGGTAGTGAGTTCTTCCCAGAATTCCTGCCATGACCAAAGAACTGCAAAACAAAGACTCCACTCCACCTACTTAACATAAATAAAAAAAATTAGACAAAAAGTCAAACACCACCAGCACCACCAATGGCAGAAGGAACCCTGGTACCTCATGTGACTTTCAGGAGGCTTCTGAGTCACTGTGCTGGTTTTGGCTGGGATAGACTTACGTTCCTCGTAGTAGGTATATGGGGCTGTGTTTCGGATTTGTGCCAAAAATGTTGTATATAACATAGATTTTTTTTTTTTTTTAATTGCTGAGAAGTTCTTGTACTACATCAAGGTATTTTGTGCTTTTCATATTGTCCTGCCAGCAAGAAGGCTTGGAGTCCACAAGAATTTGGGAGGAGGCACAGCTGGGACAGCTGACCCCAACTGACCAAATAGAATATCATATGGCATCATGCTAAGCATATAAAGTCATGGGCAGAACAGGGAAGAGGGGGTGTTTGGAGTTCTAGAGTTTGTCTTCCCAAGTAACTGTTACGCATGGCAGAGCCCTGCTGAACACCTGCCTATGGGAGGCATTGAATTAATTCCTTGTTTTGCTTTGTTTGTGTATATGGTTTTTGGTTTCTTTATCTCAACCCATGAGTTTTCTCATTTTTGTCCTTACTGTTCGTCTCCCCCATCGCACTGGTGGAGGAGGGACCAAGTGGCTTCATGGTGCTTAGTTGGCTGGAACTAAACCATGGCATTCATTTTAGTTAAAAGGGAGCTTCCTCTGGGAAAGGAGGCAATGGATGCAGAGTTACCCATATCAGAGAAGTTGCTTTATGCTCCTCAAGCATAGCTCTGCTTGAGAAACACTCAGGAGTAGAGTAGCTCAGATCAGCTGTAAGTAATTTTAAAAATAATACCACTACAAGATATAACAGGCATAAGAGATCTCTGCCTACCGTTAAGTAGAGATTACTGAGCTATGAGATCAGGTTACTTTTCATGACATTCAAGCTTACAGTTTCATTCTAAATGATGAAGGAAATCAGCTTTCTAGACCAAGGATGTTGGCAATTGTGCCAG